CACCTAGTAGAACAAAAGTCAAAATTGACAAATGGGATCTAATTAAGCTAAAGAGCCTCTCACAGCAAAAGAAACTATCATCAGAGTAAAAAGGCAGCGCAGAGAATGGGAGAAAACTTCTGCAATCTACCCATCTGACAAAGGTCTAATATCCAGAATTTACAAGGAACTTAAACATACTTAGAAAAAAAAAAAACCCTATCAAAAAGTGGGCAATGAATATGAACAGACACTTCTCAGAAATTTCTTCATCCAAAAAACATATGAAAAAAAGCTCAACATCACTGGTCATTAGAGAAATGCAAATCAAATCCACAATGAGATACCATCTCATGCCAGTCAGAACAGCAATTATTAAAAAGTCAGGAAACAACAGATGCTGGCAAGACTGTGGAGAAATAAGAACGCTTTTACACTGTTGATGGGAATACAAATTAGTTCCATCACTGTGGAAGACAGTATGGCGATTCCTCAAGGATCTAGAACCAGAAATGCCATTTGAACCAGCAATCCCATTACAAGGTACATCCCCAAAGGATTATAAATCATTCTGCTATAAAGACACATGCACACACATGTTTATTGCAGCACTATTTACAATAGCAAAAACATGGAACCAACCCAAATGCCCATCAATGATAGACTGGATAAAGAAAATGTGGTACATATACACCATGGAATACTATCCAGCAAAAACGAATGAGATCATGTCCTTTGCAGGAACATGCATGAAGTTGGAAGCCATCATCCTCAGCAAACTAACACAGGAACAGAAAACTGAACACCACATGTTCTCACTCATAAGTGGGAGATGAACACTGAGAACTCATGGACACAGAAAGGAGAACAACACATGCCAGAGCCTATTGAGGGGTGGGGGATGAGAGGATGGAACTTAGAGGATGGGTCAATAGGTACACTGAACCAGATGGTACACATATACCTATTAACAGACCTTCACATTCTGCAGGCGTATCCCTTTTTTTTTTTTTAAGAAGAAATAAAGAAAAACAAAGAAAAGATAAAGGACATTAATGAAAGAACTAGTGAAATCTGAATAAAGTCTAATTTAGTTAATAGTAATTTACTAATGTTAATGTCTTTATTTTCATAAATGTATCACAGCTCCATAAGTTGTTAACATTAGGGAAAACTGGGTAAAGGGCACTGTCTTTGCAACTTTTTGCAAGTCTAAAATTTTTCCACATAAAAAGTGTATTAAAGATAAACACATTTCCACCCTCTTATTTCCACAACATACTAGACAAGTAAGAGTCAGTCTATGATTCAGGCATTGGTGGTCAGACTTTTGAGCCAAAGAGAAAGAAGTCAAATGCAGTTCACTTTAACATACTCACCATCCCCTTATTCACTCAAGCCTGACCCAGCCCTAGACTCTTTCCCCCTGCAAATCTCCTATTAGTCACCTGGCTACAAAACTGCTCTTGTTCCCTTGAATTTCTACCTAATAGCATATTAAGGCTTGTCTTTGCCAGCCTTTTCTCTCACCCTAGATCTTTGTCTCCACAAAAAAATACCTCCCACCTGAGTAGCATGCTGTCTTGCCCTCCCACCCATCCCCCTCTATTATACTGCATTGTCTAGTTGTAATGTCTTCCCAGCATTTAGCTTCATGTAAAGGTATCTTGTCCACTCAGTTTACTTATATCTGTCTCCCCTTATACAGGCAGTAATCTTCTTGGAAATAAGGACCTTTCCTATCTTACTGATCCCTTCCCTTACTGATCCCTGGGGCCTAAAACAGTACCTGGTACAGATAGATGATTTTTTTTTTATTAGTAAGTGAATAAAGTCTTGAGAGAAAGGTTTCTGTTATATGTTTCTGTATCCTCTCCAGCTCCTAGGACCACTGCAATAATAATGACTTGTCATGAATTGTGGGTGATGCTCTATAAAATAATTTCTCACTCTTATGTCCATTAGTTCACTGAAGAAGACCTTTCTTAAGCACCAGACATCTTCTTTCTACAATGTAGAAATATGCAGAACTAGACTCTGGCCCATCAAAGTCAGGTCACGTGAAGGAGGCAACATCATGCTTATTTACAATAGTATAGCACTATTTGAGTTACAATACACGACAGAGTGGTTAACGTTATAGAAAATAGCATTTGAAAGTTCCTAGAAAATCACTTCCAGAGTCCTAATGCAGTGACTGGAGAGGATGAGTCAGTTATTTCTGGCTCACAATCCTATGATGTTGATGAAATAAATTGATTTGTTTTCCCAGTGAAGTGGGACATTTTTTACTTGAATGACAAGAATCTACACAAATCTGCTTTTTATTTTATAAACACTTGTCTCAGGTTTAAGGATCTCAAGTGAAACTGGAAAAAAAGCATGAATAAGACATGTTCTATGTTAAATTTAATTATCTTTAGTCAGGAGGTAAAAGACAACTCCCTTTCTGCTTCTGCCTGCTGCTAGCTCAGTGCCTCTGCACAATGAGTATTGAATGACAGACTCCATCCCCAGACCCCTTGCCAGGCTAGGATGCTGCTCCTGTCATGTGCTTCCTTTTCATTGCATCCAACATAATCTACCATAATTGTTTAATTTTCTGTCTTCCCCACGTAAGCTCTGTAAGCTCCACAAAGGTGAGCCAGGTATATCTTGTCCACCATTTTATACCCAGCATGTAGCACATGCCTACCACCCATTCTTAGCACAAAAATGCTCAAAAAATAATTGCATAATGACAATATCATGTGATTGCTTTATGGCAAATGACCATATTCTGAGGAGAGAGAGACCTCTGTGACAGAGAGCCCAAGCAAGAAGTTTTCAAGACTGAAACATGTTCTGAATAGATACCAAGATAGGCTCCAGTAGTGATGAACAATAGGATTTTCAGAAACACATGACTGTTACCTCACCCTCACAGATAATTTTTGAGTAACCAGCCCAATGACATTCTTTTCTTTGCTAGAATAACTGCTGATGTGGCCTTGGAAATTCACTCTGTTAAAAATAACTCTCAACCCCAATTTTGAGAGTTGATTTGAAGTTATAATTTCTCGTTCTTCTTCTAAAAATCCAGAAGAACTGGCATCAGTAGCTTTACCTACATTTCTTAAAAGATTATCAATCCTTAACATTAAGTATCTCCATGCACCTCAAAAGATCGGCTTCTCTGATCTAAACGTCTTACACACCTCGTAAATGTGGGGTTTTTTGGTTTTGAGGAAATGACTGCCAGTCTTCACTATGAGCTAGAAAAAGTCACACTCTAGAAAAAAGGGAGTACCTTTCTATTACTACTACCAAAACATTTCAGCCCCACAAATTTAAGTTACAAAATAAAGGAAATAATAAATTTTAAGCACTTTCTATATAGACATGTCAGTTACATCTATTTCAAAGTCATAGACCCAATACTCATATATAATCATGTAAATATATATGTATGTGCACAGATATAGAAATAGATACATATGTGTGTATATATAAACCGATATATATATACACACACACACACACATTTAAACTGGCATATATATTTACACTGAGATAAATGTTTGCATGTGTGTGTCTGCTTACATTTGTGACTCATCCTTCAGCCTGCCTGATCATTAGCAACTTAATCTTAGCACATTATTATTTGTCTTGGTTTTCTAGTCCAATCCAATGTGATTTCCAAGTCAATTCTTTCACATTCTGTATAAACTCCCTCCCAAGTTATCTGCCTCTCTATTCCTCCTTATGATCATGTCTAATCTCCAGAGTCTCATGTTCTGCCACTCCAAGTAAACAAATTAATCCAGGTTTCATTGACTCTTCCAGTTGTTCAGCTCAAACTGGTGATTGTTAAGAAGAATTTGAGAGCTTTGGGCCAATTTTTAAAAACAAATATGAATTTTTATGGAAATCTCCAAGTGTTTTAATGGTGATAACAATTTCTTAAAAAACCAAATACTGTACGCATCCCCGTCTTCCTCCCCATCTCAAAAAAGATGACTGTTAGCTAGCCAGATTGCAATTCCTGTCCTAGACTCCTGAAGGGTCCATGGGTATACTTAGGGAATACATACACCTCTTTTTCAAACTGCAGTCAACCTATTATCAATGTAGTAAAGTTAATTTAAATTCACGGCAATCAGTATTTTTAGTAAGCTAAAAAGAACAAGTTAGGACGGAATGAATGGAATTGAAGGAAAAATAGAATGAAAAACAAGAATATTATTTTGGAAAATGTTATACTTATGGGTGTATGCGTACCAAGTGACAAAGAAAGTGTATTTCAGAGGGCAGTGGCCAAACAAGTTTGGAAAAGCATACACGTAATTTAATTTTATTCAGTTTCCCAAATAGCGTTGTCCCTTGGTATCCACACAGGATTGAGTCCAGGACCCTCTGTGAGCACCAGTATCTTAGAATGCTCAAAACCCTTATATACAATAGTGTAATATTTGCATTTATCTTATATATAACCTCCGGTATACTTTAAATCATCTCTAGGTGGCTTATAATACCTTAAGACAATCTAAATGCTATGAAAGTGCTTATTACACTGTATTATTTTTAATTTTTTTTTTAATGTTTCCAATGGAGAGTTGTTTGAATCCACAGATAGGGAACCCAGGGCCAGGGAAGGCCAACCCTAGTTCTGCACCCAAAGAGGCTAGGAACGTAAAAATGGGGACTACCTGAGGCCTCCTTCCCCTTTACTTTCTTTCTTTAGTCTTCCTGTAGTCGGGAAGCTCAAACTAGCACCAGCAGAGCGTGAAGCCAGTGCAGGACCTGGCCTCCAATTCTCCAGAGGGCGCCGCAAAGATTTTGGTTGCCAAAGGTACTACGGTACACGCGTCAGGAAGCATCGCTGCTCTGGAGCATTTTCGTGTCGCAGGATGCCAGCATTCCTGTGACGCATTTCCGGTTGGCCGAGCTACGCACGTGCTGCCGGAAGGGAAGTAACGTCAGCCCGGAGTATTGAGCCGCTGTGCTGAGTGGCGCGGTGGTCTACCCACTTCTTGGACAGCATGTCTCACCTGCCGATGAAACTCCTGCGCAGGAAGATCGAGAAGCGGAACCTCAAATTGCGGCAGCGGAACCTAAAGTTGCAGCAGCGGAACTTAAAGTTGCAGGGTGAGATTCGCTGACTCGCGGTGGCTCAGGAGCCCCACGCGGGAGCCCTGCGACCGGGGGCCCAGCTGCTCTGTATGGCGGAGGCAGCTTCCCCTGCAGTGTGTGTGACTGGGGAGAGTGAAAAAGCAGCCTTCACTCGGGACCCGCACTGCTGCCCCCTCGTTGCGTGGCTCCAGCGCTGCTCCTGACCTTTCTGAGCAGTTTGCTAAGCGTTAGAGCAGGAGGCCTCCCGGTTCCCTTCCAGGCTTGGAGCTAACCCGGCCTTTTGCATTTTCACCTTACATTTTGATTCCCTCACCACCTACCTGGAAGTCTCACCTCACCTCATCCCTCATTTCCGATTAGGCTCCATGGAACTTTCTCATTTCCACCCACTTTTCACATCTGCTTAATTCCCATATTTCTTTCCCCAAAAGCCCGTCTCGCCGTTTCCACAGAGCTGCTTTGATGCTATCGCCTTCCTCTACCCACCTCCACATGCTGTCGTAGCACTTCCTCCCAAGAGCTTCTATGTATATGTTTCCTGCACAGTGACTTAAATGAAAAGGATTTTACCTGAATGTCACCTTTCCTACCTGCCTCGTCTCCAGTCCCAGTGTCCTGATAGTGGGACCACAAATCTTGAAGTAATTGTGTTAGCCTATTGTCCAGGTTAAGATATAAACTCCCCGAGGGAAAGGTTGGAGGCACAGTGCCTTGTCCCGGTTGGTTTTCGACAGACATTAATGGGAAAAAAAAAAAAAAAAAACTCTGCAGGAGGCAATAGGTTTATGAAATTTAGGAATATGTTTTGAAGTTCTCTAATATTTCTAATTCCTATAGAATAATAATACAGCATTACTAACTACTTTTCAGTGTATATGTAAGTAAATTTGAACAAAAGGTGGTGTTACGTTTTATCTTTTTCAATATACGAACGGGGAACCTTTGGTAAGGACATTCTTAGGTACAGTCATGCATTGCATAACAGAAGAGGGGATACATTGTGAGAAATGCATTATTAGGGGCTTTTGTCGTTTTGCAAACTTTCGTAGAGTCTAGTTACGCAAACCTAAATCTACTATACACCCAGGCCGCGTGGTATAGCCTGTTGCTCCTAAAGCTGTCATCCTGTACAGCATGTTACTGTACTGTACTGAGAGAATTGTGACACAATGATAAATATTTTTTATAGCTAAATATATCTAAACATAGAAAAGGTACAGTAAAAATACTATGACATGAGAGATTTTAAAAATGGTACACCTTTTTTGTGGTGACGGAATGTAAAGGCCTAGGACATTACTGTGCACTACTATAGACTTTAACACTGTACACTTGGGCTACACTTTATTTTTTTAATACTTAACCTTATACTATAACTTTTACTCTATAAACTTATTAAATTTCAACTTTTTGACTCTAACACTTAGCTGACAACACAAGCACATTGTACAGCTGTACACAAATAGTTTATGTCCTTATTCTGTGTGATTTTTTTCTGTTACTTTTTTTTTCTTTTTAAGCTTTTTGTTGAAAATGTGTCAGTATCACTGTCTTCCACCTCCACATCTTGTTCCACTGGAAGATTTTTAGGGCAACAATAGGCATGGAACTGACATCTATGATAACAGTGCCTTCTAAAATACGTCTCTCCCTGAGGCTCTTTTACAGTTGACTCTTATTTTTTTTTTTTTAATAAGTAGAAGGAATACACTCTAATGATCAGAAGTGTAAATACATAAACCAGTAACATAGGTGTTTGTTATCACATGTATTGTACATAATTATGTGTGCTTTACTTTATACAATGGCATCACAGTAGGTTTCTTCACACTAGCATCACCACAAACATGAGTAATGTTGCACTACAACATTGCAACAACCGATGGCAGTAGGTAAAAGGAATTTTTTAGCTCCATTATAGTCTTATGGAACCACTATATATGTTGTCCTTAATTCACAGAAATGTCATTGTGTATGCATTACTGTATTTGTGTGTGATAAATGTTGGGGCAAATAAGTGGTCTTATCAACTGAATTTTCAACCCACTGCAGCCTAGGAGAGTTAGGGCTGAATATTTTGAAGTTGCATGAGAAATAGTATTTGTGTGAATGAGTTGTAAATGTCTTTTTCAATGTATCAGTTAATCATATGTTTATCAGATACTTAGGTTTATTTTGTAACTGCTATTATCTGACCTCATCTGTTTAAATATTTGACCTCCTTGAAGTTTTTCTGTCCTAGACTCCTTAAAGTCAGAGATATGGTCTTTTGAAGTTAAGAAATCAATATAGGTTTCCTTTTTCCAGTATTTTTTCTTTAGGATAATTTACTTTTCCTATATGGGAACACCATAAAATTGTAAGTTGTTTTAATTACATGAAGAAGAAGAAAAGCTAAATAATTCGTGTCTGGAAGCCATGGAAGTTCTCATCTGGCGTTTCAGTGTTTCTAAGTAAACTTCTTCTTTGTCACAGCATATGTTTTGTTTATTTAAACAGGGGACTCAAATCTGACCCTGTCAGAAACTGAAAATGGAGATGTGTCTGAAGAAACAATGGGAGGTAGAAAGGTTAGAAAATCAAAACATTCTATGAATGTGGGCTTATCAGAAGCTCAAAATGGAGATGTGTCTCAAGAAGCAGTGGAAAATACAAAAGTTAAATCTCCCCAGAAATCCATCGTGTTAACCAACGGAGAAGCAGCAATGCAGTCTCCCAATTCAGAATCAAAAAAGAAAAGGAAGAAGAAAAAGAGAAAAATGGTGAATGATGCTGGGCCTGGTGGGTATTTATTGTCTTTGAGCTTCAGCCATTTAGTTTTTCACAGACAGTTATCGTTCCTCTTTCTATTACTTTTGTGTGCACATGACATACGAGAATTCTCTGTACTCACCAGAATATTAGAGATGAGCCTGGGTAGCTAATGGAAACATTTCATTGGCAGAAGTGGGGAGTTCATTTCAACTCTTCTCAAAATTTTGATGAATATATTTTTAGTTTCACTAACCTTGAAGAAAACCTCACTCTCAGAAAAGACTCTTCTTAGAGTTCTAGAAATTTTCTGTCTTTTTTTTGGCAGTCATCTGGGCTTTTAATGATAAACAGAACATACTATGGCATAGTATTATAGTTCTACCTGTTTACAAGTAGAGTTGCAGAATTACTAATATAAAGAAATCTAGGCTAGTAGCAGGATCTGTCTTCCCAGACCTTTCTGTATTAAGGGACTTTACTGTAATGATTTTTTTAAGTTACGTTTTATTTTTGGCTTGATTCCTCCCATTTTCCTACCATAAATTTCTCCCTTTGAAAGGAGTCTTAGTTACAAAGTATATAAAGTAGGAAACTTCTGAATAAATAGATCATTAATTTCTAAGTGCTAAGAATGGCAAAAGAAAAAGGAAGGACTATTTTTTGAAGGTGATAGAATTGCGGTAAGCTCACATGAAAGAATGGACATTTTAATTGAGATTTATACAAGCAGAGATTTAAAGGTAGGACAGGATAAGGGTCAGCAAACTATCCCTCCTACCTATTTTTGTAAATAAAGTTTTACTGGGTCATAGTAATGCCCATTGGGTTGTCTTTATGACAACAGAGATCACATGACCTGCAAAGCCTAAAATAGTTACTATTGTCCCTTTGTAGAAAGTTTACCAGCACCTCAGTTAGAACATTTATTCATGTATCTTACCTGAAATACGGGTTTTCTTTAAAAAGGAGCTTTGAACTTTTCCAAACACGCGTGACTATCTTCATGATGCCTACAAACGAACGTTATTGTAATCCTGTTCTAAAATTACTGACTTCACAGTTCTTGTTTTGAGTATGCCCAAGGAAGTGGTATTATTTCTGCTCTCAAGCACTGAGCCACAATCCTGGGAGTTTTAACCTATGGGTAATTTTTTTTTTTTAATAAGATGGGGTCTCACTGCATTGTCCAAGGTGGTCTCAAACTCCTGGGCTCAAGTGATCCTCCCACCTCGACTTCCCAAAATGCTGGGATTACAGGCATAAGCCACCACACCCAGCCACCTATGGGTAAATTTTAAGAACTGTTCCCAGGAAAACAAGCCATGGAAACCAGCTGAAGATACCTATGGCTTTTGAACTTGTGGATCCTACAGAGTTGACTGTTTCCTGGAAGGGTGGTCATAAGATACAAGGAAGAGACCAGTCCTGAGCTACAGAGAGTCCTGGGTTCTGGTCTAGGTCACTTCTTTTCCAACATCACTAATTGCCATATATTTTTATATAAGCCCAGCATGTAGTTAATCCATTTGACCCAGAGTTGAACATTCAAAAGAGAAGTGAGATAGGACTGAAAAGGCAATTGGGGATATGTGAAAGTTGTGAATGTAGAAATGAGAAGCTAGGAAACCCTGCCTTTTCTCTCACCCTCATCACTGTTAGCCAAGGAACAGTCCACTGTATGTCAGCCAGGCAAGTGGATTGCTGCCCTTACTTTACAGTCTATCTCTAGTAACAGGAAGAGCCTTTGATTAATAGCAATTGGCATGGAAGGAAAAAATGAGTGCTTATAATGAGTTTTTAAGGATTATGTTAATCAGATGTGCTTTTTTTCCCCTCAGTGGAATGTGTGAAACGTATAATTAGTATCTTTGTACTGTTTAGTTGAACTTTTTAAGGTTTTAAATGAGATGGTATAATACATTGAGAAGCCTAAAAAGTTTTGTCACCAAGTCTTTCTGTACCTTCAATTATCATTTTTCATGAAATGGAATTATTAACAAATTAATACAGAATATAGCTTTTGAAAATATACCTCTTTACATCACAGATCTTCTGTTTTGTTGATCTCATTTGGAATTTTTTTTTAAGAAAAAAATTTTGGGGGTTTTGTCTTTTAAAACCAAAGATACAAAAAAAGCAAAAACTGAAAACAAAGGGGAATCTGAAGAAGAAAGTGCCGAGACTCCTAAAGAAACAGAAAATAATGTGGAAAAGCCAGATAATGATGAAGATGACAGTGAGGTGCCCAGCCTGCCCCTGGGACTGACAGGTAAATGTCCAGGAAGTTTTCTAGACATACCTTCTTTAAAATGTGCCTCTCAGAGGATTATAGGTTGAAGTTCAGTTGTAACTTTCAGTTTACCTGGAAAAAGTAACTCTCAACAAGAAGCTTTTTTTTATCTTTCTGCTGCTTTTTCTCTTCATCTTCTATTGTGTGGTGTTTCAGTTCCTTTTGTTCCCTATTTTTTTTTTCTTTTGTCCATTTCTGACACTAAATATTTTATATGCACACAAGCAGCTTCTAGGATTCTTTGGTTTGTCCTTTTCTAAGGCTCATTCTGTGTTGTAATAGGAAAATCATTGGCCCTGTACCAGTTTAACCTCCTTTGGCCATTGTTCCTTTGTAAAGTCGAGTTTACTAGAATTCACTCCCTCTAACCAGGTATGTCTAGGAGTTGCTTCAGTTGCTTGTTTGGTTGGGGTGGTTGGTTTGTTAAAATGTTGAGGGCTCAATCCCAGATCTGCCTAATCTGAATTGCAAACATTTTGGCAGTAGCTCTTGAGCAGGGAAGTTTGCCCCCGAAGACAAGTAACTCATCCTGGTTTGCCCAGAACTTTTCCAGTTTTAGCACTCAAAGTCCTGACTCCCAGGAACCTTCTCTGTCCCTAGCCTACTGAGAAGATCGATCATCCTAAGCCTAGGAGACATTTTTGGTTCTCAGAACTAGGGGCAGTCTGCTGGCATATGGTGAGTGGAGGTCAGAGACACTGCATTATAGCTTATAATGCATAGGATAGCATCCACAACAAAGAATTTATTCAGCTCAAATGTCAGCAATGCCAAAATCAAGAGTCATTGGTTTACACCCTGGGTATGTGGAGTGTGGGGAACCCCCAGATGATTTTGATGCCTTCTGCAAAAGAATCACTATAGTACTTGATACATAGGTTCAGCCTAACATTCTGTGGTTGTATCTGATTCTTCTGTGTCTTGTCCGAGTGAGATTAACAAGTTTTTATTTTATTGACTTTACATTCAGTTTTTGTTAATACTCAGTGTTTTCACTTTTTATATCAAATTTCTTAAACATTTAATTTACCTCTGGACTCTTTCATTATTTTCCTTGTCTTAGTATTTTTATTTTGTATAAATTCCTCGGTTATACCTCCTCTCCACCCTTTGTTTTGTTATGCTATGGGCTCTGGACTATAACTCACACAGCCATTAACAATGGAGAAACTTGAAAGGTATACGGTCTTGATAATGTCACGTGAATAATTAAGGTTTAACCTTTTCTTACTTTAGGAAGCTTTTCTAAGCAAAACAGATTTAGGCAACTATAGCAGTACTTTTTAAAAATATTTGTCTTTTTAAAAAAGATAAATTTGCTAATGATAAATTGTCTTCTGTGTAGGAGCTTTTGAGGATACTTCATTTGCTTCTCTGTGTAATCTTGTCAATGAAAACACTCTGAAGGCAATAAAAGAAATGGGTTTTACAAACATGACTGAAATTCAGCATAAAAGTATCAGACCACTTCTGGAAGGCAGGTATGATTAACACTGAAGCTTAGATATTGGCATCTATTTTTAGAACTAGAGGATTATAAAGAACATACCAGTGTATTCTGTTGATTTTGTACTATATGTTGGGTCATGTATCTATCATGCATGAAAGGCTTTTAGTTAATTACTGATGTTTGAAGGACAATGTTTGAAAGGCGTTCATTTGTGTTGTAGCACAATTCTGACTTAACAATTTCCATATGTAGCCCAGGTGATCAATTTTAGCAATGTAGATGTCTTGTTCATGTTCTAGCCTTAGTGCCGAAAGTATATGTATGTAGTACATCATAAATGAGTAGATTAAATGTCTTCTTCCTTTCCCTTTTTAATATTTAGGGATCTTCTAGCAGCTGCAAAAACAGGCAGTGGTAAAACCCTGGCTTTTCTCATCCCTGCAGTTGAACTCATTGTTAAGTTAAAGTTCATGCCCAGGAATGGTAAGCTTTTAATATGCTTATATCTGCCATTATTTCACTAGCTAGAAGTTTATTGTAGCTATTATGGACTCATGGTGACAACCACAGTTAGACTTTTACCATATGTCATTTTTAGGAACGGGAGTCCTTATTCTCTCACCTACTAGAGAACTAGCCATGCAAACTTTTGGTGTTCTTAAGGAGCTAATGACTCACCACGTGCATACCTATGGGTTGATAATGGGTGGCAGTAACAGATCTGCTGAAGCACAGAAACTTGCTAATGGGATCAACATCATTGTGGCCACACCAGGCCGTCTGCTGGACCATATGCAGGTAAGAGATACAGTGCTTGTCCCATTGCCTTATATGAAACCTAAACTGACAACTAATTGTTGTTCTTTGTCCTTTGTTTTGTTAGAATACCCCAGGGTTTATGTATAAGAACCTGCAGTGTCTGGTTATTGATGAAGCTGATCGTATCTTGGATGTTGGGTTTGAAGAGGAATTAAAGCAAATAATTAAACTTTTGCCAAGTAAGTAGGTTGCATCTGGATTTGGTTTGCAAAGTATCTGTTGGAGGTAGATAAAAATTGTTCCTATAGGAAAACTGCACTAATGCCAGAACTTTACCATAGCCAGGTGAGGTGGTTGTGCCAATCGACCTGAAAGGTAGTTTGGAATACAAACATCAAACTTATTAACAACTTAATGTAGTTTTGCTGTTTTAGAAATTATAATGAACGTTAAACAGACTTAACTTAGGCCCTGTCCTCCACCTCTTGACTATTCTTACCTCATCTAACATCCTTCAAGGAGCTGTACATTTGTTGCCTTACTTGTACATACCTTGGTTATGGTACTTGCAGCATTATGAACTGGATATAACTAAGACTGTGGTCCCATTTATTATACAATTTATTTTTCAAAGCTTTATCAAAGTATAATTGACATATGTACACATTTATAAGTTACAATTTGATACATTCTTTGAAAAGTTTACCACTGTGAAACCATCACTGCAATCGGGAAAATGAACATGTCCATCACACTCAAAGGTTTCTTCCTGCCCCTTTTCAGTTTCTCCCTCCCACCCTCCTTATACACATACTTCTTCCCTAAGTGAGTATTGATCTGCTTTTGGTCACTAGATTAGGTTGCATTTTCTGGAAATTTATATCAGTGTTGTTTTGATGATTTTGGTCTGGTTTCTTTTGCTCGGTAAATTCTTTTGATTTTCATCCTTGCTGTCATGTGTATCAGTAGTTCTTTTTATTCCTCAGTAGCATTCCACTATATGAATATGACAGTTTGTCCGTTTAGCTGCTGATGGATGTTTCTGCTCTTTACAGTTCAGTGCTATTACAAATAAAGTTGCTGTGAACAGTCATCTACAATTCTTTGTAGAGACATATATCTCCTTTTCTCTTAAGTAAACCTAGGAGTGGCCTAGCTGGTATGTGTTTCGTGTATGTTTAACTTTTTAAAAAACTGCCAGATGTTCCCTAAAGCGGCTATACTATTTAACATTCCTATGAGCAGTGTGTGAAAGTTCCAGTTCCTCCTGGTAAGATTTGACCATCAGTTAATGTTAGCCCCAAGTTTGTTCTCTTTTAAGTTTGTGGTATTTTTGTCCTTTTATTGGTATTTTTGTCCAATTCTAAATTTTAGAATTGATTTGTCAGTTTCCCCCTTTCCCTCCAAAAAAGTCTCAAATCTTGATTGAGATTTTTATTGAATAGAGATCACTGGAGGAAGACAATATTGAGTCATGTAACCCACCATAATAAGGTATATCTCTATGTATTAGGTATTTTATTTCTCTGTAATATTTGGAGGGTTTCAGGATACAGGTTTTTTCACATCTTTTGTCATATTTATTCCTGAGTATTTAATTAAAATTTCAAATTCCAGTGGCTCATTGCATATATATGTATATGTACACATGTATATACACAGTTGAGTTTTATATTGTTCTTATATCTAGCAAGACAGTTAATCCTGTACTGAATGATTATTCAGTATGACTTGCCAGTTGCCTGTATCCTTTTGGATGTTCTCTGTAGGCAATCATGTACAGATAAAGACAGTTTCACCTCTTTATTTAATTTCTTTTTTCTTGCCTGATTGCCCTGGCCAAAACCTCTAGTATGATACTGAATAGAAGTGGTGAGAGCAGACATACTTGTCTTGGTTCTGATCTTAGGGGAAAGGATTCAATCTTTTACCATTAACTACATATGAAGTTAGTGGCAGGTTTTATATAGATGCCTTTTATCAGATTGAGGAAGATCCCTTTTGTTCCTAGTTTGCTGAAGGTTTTTAATCAGAAATAAATGGTCAGATTTTTTTTTTTCTGTCTATTAAAATAATCATGTTTCTTCTTTTGTTAACATAGTAAATTGTATTGGTTGATTTTTCAAATGTTGAACCAACCTGCATTTCTAGAATAAACCCACTTTGTTATGATCCATTATCCTTTTTATATATTGCTGAATTCACTTTACTAAAATTCTGTTTTGAATTTTGCATATGTGCTCATGAATGATATTGATCAATAGTTTTCTTTTCTTGTAATATCATTGTCAGGTTTTTGTATAGTGTAATGACTGACTTCAAAGAATGAGTTGATATATAAACCCCCTCTTTAATTTGTTAGAGGGTTTATGAATAATTGATGTTTCTTCCTTAAATGTTCAATAGAATTCACCAATGGAATCCATTTAGGCTTGGAATTTTTTTACATGAAGGTTTTAACTAAAATTTCTTTAGAAGACACAAGGCTTTTTAAAGTTTTACTATTTTCTTCAGTTGTTTGTCTTTGAAGGAGTTTGTCCATTTCATCTACGTTCTCAGATTTATAGACTATTGTTTCATGCTATAACTTTTTTACCTTTTATAATATCTGTAGAATGTCTTTTATTATATCTGTAGAATCTCTTATAATATCTGTAGACTCTCTTATATCTATAGAATCTCTTTTATAATATCTGTAGCATCTCTTATAATATCTGTAGAATCTCTTAAAATAGCTGTAGAATCTCTTTTATAATATCTGTAGAATCTGTAGAGACATCATATCTCCCATTTCTGATATCTCTACCCAGAATATTTGTAGTTGTGAGGCAATGGTAAAGAGTCCCAAAATGATTGGGGTTATTTTTATATGTATCTGTTTCAGCACGTAGACAGACTATGCTCTTTTCTGCCACCCAAACTCGAAAAGTTGAAGACCTGGCAAGGATTTCTCTGAAAAAGGAGCCATTGTATGTTGGTGTTGATGATGATAAAGCTAATGCAACAGTGGATGGTCTTGAACAGGTACTTTTTATCAGTAACTGAAAACTTTAGGGAACTTACTTGGTGTTTTTATGTAATTGTTGGAAGGATCATTCAGAAAGCAAATGGGTTAATGAACTTTTAAAATGCTGTAGGTGAGGCATAACAGTTTACACACTATGCTTATCAGTGCTGTTGATCAAATTATACAAGTTAGGAAATGGAAAATGTCCACTTGGTTCATTTGTATCTGTCTATTTGAACCATTTCTAGGGATATGTTGTTTGTCCTTCTGAAAAGAGATTCCTTCTGCTTTTTACATTCCTTAAGAAGAACCGAAAGAAGAAACTTATGGTCTTCTTTTCATCTTGTATGTCCGTGAAATACCACTATGAGTTGCTGAATTACATTGATTTGCCCGTCTTGGCCATTCATGTAAGTGATTATAACGAGCTCATTGAAAACAGGGTATGCTTATTAAATCCTAGAGGTTGTAGGATTGGAGTTATTGCCCACTCCTCCAAATATTGTTCTGAGTAGTTAGATCACCACTAGGTGATGGACCCTGAATGTGGGGAGCACTGCTGGGTGTGGAGGGTTGTGAGGACTTCCAAGGAGTACAAGACACCATCCTCCTTGAAGGGCTTGCAGAACTGTCGGGAAATAGAACATAGGCCAAGGGATGAGCTCAAAATAGAGTAACAATTCCACAATTTGGGGGTTCTACTGCTAGACTTCCTATAGACAACCTTAACATTCCAGCTCTTACGGATGTTTTTATTTAATTCTAGGGAAAGCAAAAGCAAAATAAGCGTACAACCACATTCTTCCAGTTCTGCAATGCAGATTCAGGAACACTATTGTGTACAGATGTGGCAGCAAGAGGACTGGACATTCCTGAAGTCGACTGGATTGTTCAGTATGACCCCCCTGATGACCCTAAGGTAACTGGCGTCCTTGGGGTATATTCAGAATGACTCTGCATTAAGGAGTTCACTTATTCTCCTAGTTGCCTGACAGAAACCGCATTCCACATTCGAAAGGTTTATCCCTACTATACAGTGACTGCAGTATTCCTCTGGTGTTGATAAGTATTTAAGGCTTTTCAGGGCTCAAAGGGGCCGTGCAAGAGGATTTAAAAGTATCAGTGGAACTTAAGTTATGAAAATAAGATCCTTGGAATGATCTCTTAGGAACAGCAGATGTCTGAAGGAAATAAAATTGCTTAAGGAGGTAGATAAGCTTCTGGATATGTGGTAGAATAAGCTTCATTGAGAAGTATTTTTAACAAACAATGGATTGAAGCCATTTTGATGACGAAGCATGCATAATACTTATTTTATTAGATCACTGTTAATGCAGACATCATGTCCAGCCTTTTTGGCCTCAGTCATTGGCCTGTTACCTTTTGGGGGTGCTGTGCGCCAGAGGGATTGCTGCCCTGCTTTGTGGGGTGTGGCCCAGTCCCGTGGAAGTGCACCATCCCAGTGCCCCATCCCAGTGCAGACATGCACATACCCAGGACACAGATACGCAAATGGGCTCATGTGGAAGTCATTGTGTTAACTCAGGTTTTCTTTCTCCACGAAAGGAATATATTCATCGTGTGGGTAGAACAGCCAGAGGCCTAAATGGGAGAGGGCATGCCTTGCTCATTTTGCGTCCAGAAGAATTGGGTTTTCTTCGCTATTTGAAACAATCCAAGGTAACGATCTTTACTTGGAGAAAGATTTCTCTTGGTGTAGGGATTGTTAGCAAGCACCATTTTTACATGTGTCAGAGGAGTCTTGAGTTTGGACAGTACTATTACAACCATTCTGATGGCAATTAAGTAAGATTTTATGTACTTCTAGACCAGGAAGTGAAAACAAGGAATTGCCTACGTGACTCAGCCTTCTAGCTCTGTTACTCACCAACGCCTCTGTGTCCCAGCCTCTCCTCTCCCATTCCCTCCAGGCCTCTTTGAAACCTTCTCCACTCCTTTGAAGCTCCCTCACACCTAGTCATCTCTGCTTCTGCTCCCCTTCCTTCCTCTTACCTTGTGTGATACAGTGGGGAATCCTCATTCACGCTAATCTCTGCCTCCTTCACTGCCCTCTGTCTCCTATTCATCAACTCTTGGCCTACAGTCTCTTCTTTGCAGTTAGCACTTTACCATCTCAAATTTCTCACTGCAAAAAGTAACCTTAACCTTAAACCTATTCTTCTACCCCTTCCTGCAGGATAGCTACCGTCTGTTGCCTTTCCTCAGTCTGCCTTATCGGAATAATGGTTTATATTCTTGCCAGTTACCTCCCTCTTGGTCCCCAGCCAGCTTAATTTGGCTTTAGCTTTGTAGTGTCACACTGGAATTGAATCCATCAGAACCCTAATGGGCCTCTACATTGCTAAGCCATGGGGATGCGTATCAGGCCTTCTCCTCCCTGACATTTGCATCCTCATGGCGTCTCTGGCATAGTCTTACCGATAGGTTTCCTCTACCCTGCAACTACAGGCAGTGCCCTGAAATTTCTCTACAGCTTTTGTTCACTTTCTCCAGAATGCTTGGTTTCAACTAGCCTCTGTCTTTGCTGGGAAGCCATCTCTGATCTCCTGCCCTCCTCCTTGTTCCCACAGAACAGGTGCTCATCAAGTTGACATTTCATTACTTAGCTTTCTCCCTCACAAGACCACAAGCTCTCCAAGGGCAGAATCCAGGACTTAGGCACCTATTCTCCAGCACCTAGCATAAGCCCGTTGCTTTTCTGGTTATCTAATGAGTGATAACTGATGACAGATCCACCCTGTAGGAGTTTGTGGTCATGATGACCTGTAGTGTCACAAGCCTCAATACAGGGCTGTGTCGTATTAGGACCATCTTCTGACATGGAGAAAGGGGGCTGATGGTCCTTTTGAGTAGAAGCCTTAGGCTGTTTCATGGTTCCAAACAGTCAGGATAGTAAAGATTCTTAGAGAAAAGTGCTTTACTGACTCGATCCCTGTCCAATTCCTTGCCCTTCAGAAAGAAAGAAGTACAGATTGCCTAACTCAGCAGAGCAAAGATGAAACTTTCCCACCAACATTGGGAGACTAGGAAAAGCACATTTTCCTGTCTGTCTTGAAGGAATTCCATAGGCCCGGTCACCCTTCCCTATCTTCAGTACCCAATACCTGAATGCTGATCATCCTGGTTTACTAATCTTAATACTTTCGGTTTCTAGGTTCCATTAAGTGAATTTGACTTTTCCTGGTCTAAAATTTCTGACATTCAGTCCCAGGTATGTGATTTTTAAACATTTGTGAGTAAGCAAGAACCTTAACCTTGTTCCAGCCCTGTCTTTGTAGTGGTTTATTGGGCAGTCAGTGTCCTATAAAGTCTACCCTGTTGTAAAATGAGGATTGGACTGTTGTCTATAAGGTTTCTTACTATTCTAGTTAACACCACTCTGTGCCCTCCTTAAATGTTTTCTATGGAGTGACTTTGCTCTAGGATATTTGAAATCTGGTGTTTTGGAGGGTTTTGTTTGTTTTTGTTTATTAAAACCCGTGTTTCTTTCCATTTCAGCTTGAGAAATTGATTGAAAAGAACTACTTTCTTCATAAGTCATCCCAGGAAGCATATAAGTCGTACATACGCGCCTATGATTCCCATTCTCTGAAACAGATCTTTAATGTTAATAACTTAAATTTGCCTCAAGTTGCTTTGTCATTTGGTTTCAAGGTGCCTCCCTTTGTTGATCTGAGTATCCTTTTTTTTAATCAAGTTATCTTGGAACTGAGGAACAAAAGCTTGACAGAGGGGCATTTTGGGCTTTGCAGTAGATTGGTATATGTTCCGTCTCAGACTGGAGGCTCCAGTGTTTGTCCTGATCAGTGTCTGTGCTAGCACAGGACATAGAGGTTGGGTGGGGCAAGTGGGTATTAAACATTAGGATGGAGTTATAGGGACAAGGCAGATAATGCCTTGAGCCTTCAAAAGACAAATTTGACTGTAGAACAAGGAGAGACAGGCAGTTGTGCGTTCCAGGCAGAAACATAGGTAACATAGCAAAACACGGTGGTTGCTGAGGCCACACTGTGCAGGGTACTTAGGTGAATGGGATGTTTTGAAGCTAAAGAGAGGATGGGACCTTTCAAGGAGTTGTAATCCTCTTAGAGCCCCTGAAGAGTTTTATACAAGAAAGTGGCAAGTTCAGCAAAAGGTGTTATTTATGATAAAAGGCAAAAGGAGTACCTCCAGTTGCTTCAGTTGTGATTTATAATTTCTGCCTTTCAGAAGAAGAAACAGCCGCTGAAATGAGGCCTGTGCGTTAGTGCCATGGTAGTAACTTCTGAGGGGGACTTGACGACCAAATTTTTTTTTTTTTTTTTTGAGACAGAGTTTTGCTCTTGTTACCCAGGCTGGAGTACATACAGTGGCACAATCTCGGCTCACTGCAACCTCTGCCTCCTGGGTTCAAGCAATTCTTCTGCCGCAGCCTCCTGAGTAGCTGGGATTATAGATGTGCTACCACGCCCGACTAATTTTTGTATTTTTAGTAGAGATGGGGTTTCTTCATGTTGGTCAGGCTAGTCTTGAACTCCTGACCTTAAATGACCTGCCCACCTCGACCTCCCAAAGTGCTGGGATTACAGGCGTGAGCCACCACACCCGGCCTTAGAGGACCAAATTTTGGGTTACCATCTCCATTTGTAAACAGTGAGTAAATGTCAGCTGAAATGAATACATGTCAAGTCCTGTGGAAGGAAGAGCAGCTCCTTGACTCAGGCATTCCTAAATTAATTCCAAAGAGAAATGATAGTCACTTGTTTTGACACAGGAGGTGGTTTTTTAATGTGCTCCTATAAACTTCCTGATTAAACTGATAAATACCTGTTCACTGTCATGAATTTTACTATGTGGAAGAAATAATTAAGATGACTATTACACACTGAAGTTTAAAATCATACCTGCTCATTTTAGTCTACAGTCATGTGGCCACTCCTAATTTTCTGGAAATTTATTGCATAGTCCTACATTCCCACATTTTCATTGTTGAGAATGGGGTTGTGGAGGGACAATAGTGTACGTACTGGTTTTTTCCCTGTGTGGATGTTAGGTTGGAGTTCATTATCTTTTTTACTTGATTTCCTTAATGTTTGCTTCTAGACGTCAACAGCAATGAAGGCAAGCAGAAAAAGCGAGGAGGCGGTGGTGGATTTGGCTATCAGAAAACCAAAAAAGTTGAAAAGTCCAAAATCTTTAAACATATTAGCAAGAAATCATCCGACAGCAGGCAGTTCTCTCACTGAAGACATGCCTTTCTTTCATCGTGCATAACTTTGTCCTAAAGTGAATTTTTTTTACCCCTTGATTTAACAGAATTTTTGTAGCCTTTAGAATTTGGACTTCCTAACAAGAGTATAAATTAACTTGGGTTGCAAGCACTGAGCACTGTTACTTCTATCAAGTCTCTCTTTAATTTTTGAGATACAAAACAGGCTTTGTTTTCTTGGTTGCCCAAGGCCAGAGCAAGGAATATCTGGTCTTTCTTATGATTATATAATATTTTAATTTTAAATATCCCTCCCTAAAACAGACAAATGTATGTTACTGTTCTAATATAATTCTTTTTGTACTTTCTTGTTTGGTGAAGATTTCTGTGGCATGGATTGCTGCTCTTACTGCTGTAAAGGTGACCTAGCGTACTGGGCAGCTAGTGGTAATGCAGAGAAAGAGTCTCAGGTTATTTTTTGTTTTTAGTTATTTCTTGGACCTTGACAGTATCTCATGACTCCTTCTGAAAATGCTGCAGTATAAAAGAGCAAAGAGCTTAGAAGCACCTTAGAATTAGTGTGGCATTGCTTTTATAGATTCTTGATTTTAAAGCAATGAGCTTTTCTTGGGTGTTTCGTTCTTTTTGGAGCAAAAGCTATGGGCTGTAATTTCAATAAAGTGTCACTAGCAGTCAACATTCAATGGGAAGGAGTTAGGAAGAGGGTGAAATTGAGATGTTTGAGCCTTATTTACATCAATAGAGGTGTAATATACTGCATTTCTTCATTTGGTAACAGCAAAGACTAAAAACGCACAAAGAATGGTGGTGCTCCTCATTTAGATTTGTTTAATTCAAGATGGTTTGGATTTTGGTAAGCGTTTTTACTCTGTAGAGTACTTAGAAGACAAGGGCAACTTCCTTGGACTTAGAACCAAGCTATCAGACAGTGCCCAGCACACATTAATGTTAGCTTCTTTCCGAGAAAAATTACCTCTTCAGGCCATGAAACAAAAAACACATTTGCTATCAAGATTGAAAATGAACAAAGTTAGGAAAAAAAAAAACACAACAGCAAAGTCAGTGATTTAGTCAGATGGGTTTTTTGTTATAGGAGCACTTGATTTCTGGTGTGTTTTGTATAGTGTATAACTACAAAATAGTACATTATGTAGCAATTCAAAACCAAAGTTGCTAGCATCATTTGGCTGTTGTGCCAGTTAATCATAGGATCCCATTAAATGTAAGAAGTGCTAACAACTAATGTAGAGGAAACTGTTTGGTAAGGAACATTCCAGTAGGAAAAGAAAAGAACAATCTTCTATTTCAGGGCTTGGCTGTCATCAGCCTGGTTGGACCTGTCCTGGGCCTCGAACCTTGACTGCTGGGCTCCTGGATTGGCTTCTTGGATTCCTATTTCCTGGTGTTTAATAACTCTCCAGGATCATGTTTTTCTCCCCCCCTCCCCCGAAATAATGAATAATGTTTTTTAAAAGACAAAAACAAAGGGAAGAATATTTAATTACTGAGCAGGAGTAAATTTGTACATAATCTAATTTTTATATGCATGTTTGTGCTTTTTAAATTTTTTATCAAAAATGAAGTCATCTACATACTGCTTGTAACCAGCTTGTTTCATAACGGTATTTTCCTGTGTCATTAAATAATTACCTCATGTTGTATTTTATTTATGGCTGCTTTGTTGACCCTTGCTTGGTCTTCCAGGATTTAGGTTCAAGATACCTACCTGATTGTGCTAGACTGGCTGTCCCTATTGCAGTATATCTTGTGCTCCTACTGGTCTTGAGATTGTTTACCTCTATTATGAGTCAGTCTCTAGAGGTTTTGTGAGAAAAGCATATAAACAAAGTGGACAGGTTGGCCCTGCTATATAAGAACTTAATTCAGGTTCGTTAGCACCCCCATCCATGATCTCCATTCCTGTAGTCAGCTGTGGACTGGCTAGCTCAGTACAGTACAATAAGCTACTTTGAGAGGCCACATTTACATGACTGTTATTATAATATATTGTAATTGTTTTATGTTAATCTCAATGTGCTAATTTATAAACTTTGTCATGTATAGGAAAGAATTTATAGAGGGTTCAGTCTTGTCCACAGTTTCAGACATGCACTGGGGGTCCAAATGTATCCCTGGAGAATAAGGAGAACTGTACTTGCTGGGTGCTGTTTGTGATTGTAGTGGCAGAATGGTCCAGGCTAGGGACAAGAGACAGCCAGACCTGACCACCCTGGCCAGATTCAGACACGAAGGAGCCAGTTACTAGTATCATGTACAGTGAGTGAAAGCAGCACCGTCTGCAAGGCTCATACACAGTAAGGACTTCATAGGTTTCTGTGCTAAGAGCACAGTTGGTGGCAAATGTGGGCATTTGACAGGTGGGATTAAGTGGCTGCAGCCATGAAGGTTAGAAGGCAGAATGTGAGGTGGGGGGAGTCATGCATATCGCTTCATGCAGGTAAGTCTTTGGGTTCTGTGGGCTGCAAGAGATGACATTGCTAGGTCTAAATTTTATTTAGCCTCAGCCAGCTTTGTATAATAAAACAAGATACTCGAAACAGTATGCATAAGGGGTTAAAAGTGAGAGCGCCATAACCAGAATACCTAGATTCAAATTCCAGCTGAGCCACTTACCAACCTCAGGGCCTGTTTCATGAGTGAAGTGAAGGTAATAACACCTCCTTCAGAAGATGGTAAGAATCCAGTGCTCAGGACAGTGCCCTGGTGCTCAGTGCCCTGTCCATGGTAGCTGCCTCCGTGCATCCTGCATGAACACCTTGCTGCCACTCAGCAGCAGGTACAGAGGCTCATCCCAAATCCTGAGCCCGTCTGGGCTTTGGCACACAGCCAGGATTTCTTAGCAGTCTGCATCTCTTGGAATTCTGAAGAGCAGACTTGGGCTTTGGAAAGTGGTCCAGTCCTGCAGCACCTTCCTGAGGTAGCTGTCAAGTATATTAATGCTGTTTTCAAGGTTGCTGTACTTAGTGTTGGGTGGCAGCAACAACAGTGTAGTTGCCTTTGGATAATCTAATTCATCATACAAGCCTGTTAGATGTCATAAACTCTGCAGAGGACACAGAAGAATATGCCCAGATCCCTCTTAGGATGGATACAAATTAGAGCAGGTAGGCATAAACAGTTGCAATATTGTTTTCTAAATGATGTGACAGATGCAGACAAATATTCTGGCTATTTTTATTAAGCCTAGAAATCCTGTGTCCTTGGGTCCTAGTGGACTATGATTATCTTGCCCCATCTCTAGGAGATTCTGATTTAGTAGGCTTTTGCCAGGGCAGAGGTATGTAGATGATGCTCATGTTCAGCTAGGTTTGGAAGCAACCAGACTAGAATCCACACAGACTCTTAGTAAATGTTTTCTGCCCTCATCTTGCAAAGTGAAGGTGCCCAGCACAGGAAAGGGTGTTAGTATGTTGTAGTCATTCACAAACTAGGGTGACCTAAAAGAGAGACAGGCTGGGGCTTTCGAGAAACAGCTGTGTTTCATTTGAATGCCCTGGGTGGAAAGAAGTAGGACAGCCTAGCTTCCATGGAACCCATACCTCCTTGCACCAGACAAAGCCTACAGATCCCTCCACAGTGCTCCATTCCCTGTCCATTGGTGTTGGGCCAGAGATTAAACCAATTTGCCTTGACCACACGTCTTTGAGAAAAAACCATTCTCCCTTCTGGGACCCAGCATCTGTACCTGTAATAGAGGGAAATGTGGAAAATTCTAACTGAATGATCACTTTCCTGTGGAGGCAAAAACACATTTTTTGTGTGTTTTTCACAAAAACATTTTATTTTGAGGGGCGGCTATCCAGCATCCAACTCTTTTTTTTTTTTTTTTTTTTGAGACAGTCTCACTGGTCGCCCAGGCTAGAGTGCCATGTCACGATCTTAGCTCACTGCAGCCTCCACCTCCCTGGTTCAAACAACTCTCCTGCCTCAGCCTCCTGAGTGGCCGGGATTACAGGTGTGTGCCACCACACCTGGCTAATTTTTATATTTTAAATAGAGACGGGGTTTCACCAAGTTGGCCAGGGTGATCTCAAACTCCTGACCTCAGGTGATCCGCTCGCCCCAGCCTCCCAAAGTGCTGGAATTACAGGCATGAGCCACCATGCCAGACCCGCATCCAACTTTTTATTTAGAGACAAAACCTTTCAAATATTGGTGGGTTGCTGAGACCACCTCCCACCAGACAGGCAGAAATGCCTCCCGTGCAGCCAGGGTGGGGCTGTGACCTGGGTTTGACCAATCACATACACTTGCCCAAACTGAATTAGATACTAATAAAACAGGAGCAGAAACAGTAAATGTAGCAGCTTTCTCAGCCAGGGTCCAGAGTCAGCTGTGTCGGGAACAGGTGGCCCCCACTGTGGCACCAGGCAGCATAGTACCACGCTCACACCAGGTTGAGCGTGCCATGACTTTGGCCGGGGTCCTGCCCTTTAGCACCTGCCCTTGTTCCAGCCTATTTTGCAAGCCTAGTTCTGCCACCATTTCATATCCTTTCAATTAATTCTGTTTCCCTTTAAATTACTCAGAGTGGCTTTTTGTTGCTCATAATTGGCCCAAGGATATAATAACCGCTAAGGTTTGGCTCCTCTCTCCCTGTTGGTGGTAAAATGTCTAGGTTGCTTGCCACCATTCCCTGCATCGGCACAGGGGAAATGGGGAGTTTTGAGCAAGTCCAGGACTTTGAAACATCTAGGGCAAGGATGCGTCGAAAAAAGAACAAGTGGCAAGCTCACCACCTTGGGACAGGTCATGGGGAAGCTGCTCTGGAGGTTTGGGAGGCAGGAAAATGTGGGACCCTTGACATCACTCAGAGCCTCCAGAGGAGTGTCCGCAGCTGGGGAAGGGGAAGCTGAGGGTTGTCATACCTTCCAGGGCAGCAGTTTCTGGAGTCAGGCAGAAGGTATGGGAGGCTTGGAGCAAAGCCATGGCTCCCTTTGCTCCCTGCTCTGTGACTCAGTTTCCTCATCTGTAGAATGAAGCAGTGGATACACAAGGATTAGGTGCAGAGTCAGGCCAAGTCAGATCTTGAAACAAGGTCTAGAAACAAAAGCTTAATGACACTATCAGGAACATCAGGAAAAGGTGGGTTACGGTCGGAAACAAGAAAAACCACGTATTCTAGGCCTTACCGGTTTTTCACATCCTCTCTCTACCATCAAAATTATGGTTTCAAAGGCATTAGACCAACAAACTGCTAAAAGGTGCCTCCCGGGAAGTCTCCGGCCTTTGCGCGGCTCCCGATGTCCCCAGCAGAGGGCTCTCGGCTGTGCCGACTCTGGACAGCTGCTGCCACGGGGCCAGCTACGCTGTCAGAGCGGCTGGTGATTTTGACTTGCCTTTGCTGGCAGAGGAGAGCTATAAAGGGTTCATTTTATCCAGCTTGAAGAGAGAAAGGTTGGAGTATAGGGGAAGCGTGGGACAAACACCTACGCGACTCGATCATGCTGAGAGCGTGCGCTGAGGGGGGCGTGCAGAGCGGAGTCTGACTCCCAGGCTGCTGAGGCCCGGGACCAAGTGCCTCCTGTGCTTCAGGCGCTGTCAGCCTCCCCGCAGCCCCGGGAAGGCCGGTCTTACCCGGACGTCACAGGGAGGGAGCAGAAGCGCAGTCACCCACTGATAGGAGGGCGATGTCCTAACCCGGACGTCAGCCTGGCGCTTTCCCGTGCCCTGACCGCCTCCTGCCCTTCCCTCCCTGCTGCCCCCAGGGAATGCAGCTGGTGTCCTCAGATGCAGGCAGGAGAAACCCGCAAGCGCCTGAGAGCCTGGCCGGAACCAGGGCTGCAGGTGTTGGGCCAAGACACAGAGGTTGTGGCCTCCAGCCCTGAGACTCCAGTAGAGACGGTTACCAGGGCGGCTTTGGGTGAGGAAATTGAAAAAGGTCAGACTCCATAGGAGCAGCACCCTGGACTCCAAATATAACACGTATATTTGTGTGGCTACTAAGAGTAAGAACCTGGGGGTGCAAGAGTGATCTCAGCTCCCTTCTACAAGCTCATGTGAGAGGGATGTGA